GTCACAGCAGATATGATTGTTTCTGGAGATTTTCTGAAGTAGAATTAGCATTGAGCTTCCAAAGTTCTTATTGGAGATGATTTGGATTTAGAAAATTAATTCCATTTCATTCATTTGTCTAGGAATCATTGTAGAATCTAAGTGAAGAACTTTAGCCAGAATGACCAAACAAGTATGTAACATAATTATCAACAAATGCTTCCAAATGAGACAAGTGAAAGCTTTTTAATTTATGTTTCTAATTCACTTATGCTTATATTGTAATACTTAATAGCTTAGGTCCTCTTTCTATTGTGTCTTGGTATGGGTAATTTTGACTGTGTAGAAACTAATATTTCCCCTCATACTTTAACCCTTCATGTGTTGGACGTTTTTATGTCTATAGAGAACCAGGCAATATAAGGAATTAAGTAAACAGAGATGGAATAAAGGATTTTTAGCTCTAAAAAATCAGTGTCTTCTTTCCCAAAGATTTTCTGAAACTCCATTCTTACTGACTTGAGAGAGAATTTTCTCCTAACAACAGATTTGACAGACTAGTTCCAGTCGTGAGTTCATGTTTCACTAAATGTGAATTTCTCCTTTTCTGCCCCTGATTTGATAATGGAAGGAAAGAATGAATGAAAAACGAATGATCCCAAAACATTGTTCATGTTAGAGAAAATCACATAAACCATAATCAGAGAAAATCACATAAACCGTAATCCCAGAAGAAGATTCTTGGAAACATTTCAACATTAACTTTTGAAACTCTGGATTGGCTTTTATAACTATGAGTGAAGGTGAAGTTTAAATGTAGTTATTCATGGTATGTGGATTTCAGCATCCAGTTGATCCCTGAAGACTTATATTCCCCAGATTTATATTCCCAAACAACTGTGACAGATTCTGTAGATCCTTAGCTCATCCCCTGCAGGGACCTGTTTATTGCCCCTTTCAACTGGATATAAATTTTTAAATAGATAAAATACAGATTAATGAACTTGTGCGAATATCATGTTCCTATTGGCCAGCTTTCATCTTGACCGTACTGTTGACTTCAACCTCACTTGATTACTTGAACTCTTCTGACAGGACTCAAACATACCCCCAGCTTGCTTAATGCCTAGGACCTACCAGAGAACTGGACACATCTTCAAAATTTTGTATCAACAAGTTTCAGTCCGGATTTTTCATTTCACTATTTTGCTTGAGGAAAAAGCCAACTGTAGACTCATTCCACTTTTGATTATTGTTATTTTTTAAAATTTCTTATGGGAAATTTATAAAAATAAAATTGAAAATGTAATTATTTATCATCTCATTTCCAAAAAAAAGAATTTAAGTAGTTCCAAGAAGGATATAAATGGCTTACAGGGTTTTTTTCTTAGCCCTTTTTTTCATTTTAAAAATATGAATGGGCTTTGGGCCAAGATATGGAAGTTTATTGTAGAATTTGGTTGTTTATTTTTTGCAAAATAGATATTTTCGTACCAGCATAAAAAATTAAAGTTATGGGGAATAGTCTTATCTGGAGTGCCATAAAATGGATATAGACCCCCATTTAAAAGAAAAAGACCTTATATTTAATTTTAATGGCTGTGAAAATTCTTTCTTATGAATTGAATTGTGTCCCCTGATCTTAGAGGGAGAAAGACAGGTTTTCTCCTCTATATTGAAGATGTGGTTTCATTGTTCTCACCCATGGTAGGCCTCTGTACACCTGTGGACTTAGTCATAGTATCTAACTGTTGTTGAGAAGAACTGCTCAACAGTAATTATTCTAAAGCCAGATAGTATTTTGTCAGACATTTTCTAAAATTTTGGTGGTTCACGTTCAGGAAAATTCCTTATAACAAGTTAATTTGTTCCAGTGTTTTGGGACTAATTATCACCTAATGATTCTTAGTGCTTTACCAGGAAGCCATGGTTTTTAAAAAAGAGATGATTCAATGAGGCATTCTTTAGGTTTTTCTGTGACCATGGTGAGTACCTAGTAACTTCAGAAGTTTTTTCAGCCAACACTGTTTTGGCTAAGTTCTGTGTTATAGAAATTTGAGGAGTTCTAGGACAAGCCACAGAAACAAATTCTCTCTTGCTGAAATGAAAAAGTAAGTGTTGGACTTTTGGTTGCTCTTAGAATCACTAGGCAATCTGGAGATTGAGCAGCAACAGAGCAAGCTGAGCCCACCAGAGCCACACCACCTCAAGAGCCAGTCCTAAAAGGGTCCTGCTGCTAGTACCAATGGACCCTGGATGCCATTGCTTGAGCCACTGCCCTGATTGGCACTAGACACTTGCACTGCTCCCCTGGTCCAGGGCTCCACTGTACCCCACCACTACTGCTGTAAGACAAATTGTCCTTTAGCCCTATTCCTGTGCATCACCAGCCCCAGATCTAAAAACCCAGAGTACATGTGTCCAGCAGTCATGCAGTCTCATACCTGTTCCCTGTTAATGCAAGGAGGGGTCTGTCTCCATCAAGACTCATACAGTGGAGAGTTCTCCAAATACAGGAAATGGGTGCAGATCCTAGGCAGACAAAAAATGTCAAATGTCTCCTCCAGGCAGGGCTAATTAAGCAGTTGTTTGTGGGCTGAAATGGACCTAAAGCTGCTTCCTTGAGAAATTCTGGGGTTGTTCTTGTGGGCCATTCCAAGTGGCAGTTCAGAACTGAGGTATTCTCCTACTTAGCAGAAATGGGCATTTAAACCCTTGGGTTTGTTGTGGGTTTGTGTTTGATTTTCTTTAATTTGCTATTCCTTATGATTAACTAGCCCTGGAAAATGTTCTGTTAATCTAGTAGAATTCTGCCTTGATACAGTGAATACAAATATTCCCTGCTGTGTTCATTTGAAATAGGAGCAGGCATTTTCTATATTTTAGTGGCATATGGTGCTAAGATTTTATCATACTTTCTTATAAAGAGCCAGTAAACTTTCTCTGCTTAAAAATGTGTTTATAAACAATAGGCTTGCAATGAATATTCCCATCTGTTAGGTGAACATAATTTGTGTAGGAATTCCTGTAATAGGTGGAGCACTTTGCAACTTTTTTATGTATTTCTTCCCCTGGTGCGTTAGACTAAAGAGATGGTACAAAACAGCATATGCCTAATATTCAACTTTGTATCTGTTTCTCCCTGTTGTTTGAAAGCGCTGCTATTTTTGTGCAATACTACATAGAATTACTATAGAAATTTATAAGAATTTAACATCTATTTAGGATACTGCAAAAAGGGAAAAATGGAATGAATAGCAATTATATAAATCTGGTTATGTTGCAGTGATGAAACTGTCCTTGTAGTTTTTCAAATATGTACTCCAATAATTTGTGTTATTTCTTTTCCAAAAACTTTTATTGACTTTGTTTTAACCTAATCTCAAAACTCCTCCTTATTATAATCATAGTATATAATAATCAATGGTGCTTATTCTTCTAGCCTTGGTTTGTAATTTAAATAAATGACATTGACTCTTTGTGTTCAGTTTGATATTAATCTGATTTTCTTTACTAATTAATTTTTTATTTGAGATGAACCATTCCTCAGAATAGAATAAAATTTTGAAGATTAAAACTCAGCAATATTGTTTTTCATAAAAGATTTTATTAATCTTGTCATACGATCTCAAGACAGTTATCAGAGGGAAAACATACTTTGATTAATATTTGCTTAATACTGAATTACCTGTATTGTCAAAATGATTTTCACTTAAAAATTATGCCTATTAGTGCCTTTTTCAGGTTGACTAATGGGACACACTTGAATAAAAAGATGAGCAATTAGTTGAATATAAGTGATTTCAAGGTACACTTAGGAACTGAGCAAAGAAAGCATACCATACACGGTACCTTTTACTTGATTTTTAAAAAAATTTCTCTCATACTTTGTAAGAGGAAGTATTTAAATTGAGGATAACTGTTACTGGAACGTCTTTTCTTTTAGAGGATAGCATCACTGCCTTTTCTCTTTTTTGTAAAATAGGCTACCATTCGATTGGGTTTTAGCTCTTTTTCTTTCTTGTGGTAGACACCTTCCCATCTGTGAAAAATATCCTGGACTCAAGCCTTATTCTTGATTTGTTTGTGAACATGGCCTAGGAATTAATTAATGTTCTCTCTTAGGCAGCATGAAAGATATGGGCTCCAGAGCCAAAAAACTCGCTTCAGTGGTCCTTGGTTATATATCCTTGCTTGCTTACGGATTTCAAAGTATCCTAAGTTATATAACCAACAGTAAACCTAAAGCATAGCTTTTATGGAAACTGTATCCTCTAACTACTTTTTTTCCCCTATAAAATTTTACTGAAGTTTTTAGAAAGGCATTGATTTGAAGGATGATTACTTACAGTCACAGGAATGGAAAATACAAATGAATCACCTTTCAGTCATCCAAAAAGTTTTTAAAGCTAATGTCAGGCCTTATGTGGAGAAGTAAAAAAGGGAAGTGTATAAATTGTGTTGGGAGATGTCTACAACGTGAGTGGAGAGAGGAGTTGTGTCACGATGTCACTGCTTCTTTGCCTTAATGACATTTCAGGAAGTGTCTCATCCTGAGAGCCTTGTTTGAACTTTTATATAGAGTGACATGACACATTATGTTAAGACTGTTGCCATTTCTCGAAATAATTTTTAGAAATCCTGAGAGAATTATAATGTTTTTATTGAAAAGTCTAGTTTAAGAGAATGACATTTAACTGTTTAACATTTCTCATTCATTCAGCCAGCTGTGAGTGATATCTACTGTGCACATGGCACTGTACTAGGCACCAGGGGTACAATGACGAACAAGACAGATCTAGAAGCTAGCTCCATGTGATATTTACAGCCTAGTTGGGGAGATAGATATCAATTAAATAATCTCACAAATAAATTGCAGTTGCAGTAGGTTTGTTGGTCAGGGAAGGATTGTGTAGAGATTAGTTTACCAAAACTAAAATATTTGTTGAGTGCCTACTAGAAGAGATGTCAGGGCTGCTCTAGATATGGAACCATTAACACTTCTTCTTGGTATTTGGCAGGTATATTATTCCGTCTTTACAGAGGCTCGATGCTGGGTTTTACCGCTGTGTGGTGCGAAACAGAAGGGGAGCGCTCTTGCAAAGAAGATCAGAAGTTCAAGTTGCATGTATGTGTACATTGAAAAGATCTTCAAATAACGAAAACAAAGTATCTGTGGGGAATGCCAATCAAAATCACGTTTAAACATTGTAGAAGTTGAAATTCTGTCTTGAATTCTCTTTGGAATAGAATAATTGTTAAAATTGGTTGAGAGATAAGTAAATAGCCAATGTAGCTGGTCTGATCATCATGATGGGGCTAATGAGGCAAATACCACTTTTTTCAGTTCATCAGATTAAGGGGCCTATAAGGCACTGTAAAAGGGTAAAAAAAAAACGGGTTAAAAAAGATGCCTTCTGTTTTAAGAATTACTAGTTACTCTTAGCTTTTGTTATTTTCAGATTCAAATGTTATTTATTCGTTTGTTTATTTTTTTGGTGAGGAAGATCGGCCCTGAGCTAACATCTGCTGCCAATCTTTCCTCTTTTTGCTGAGGAAGATTAGCCCTGAGCTAACATCTGTGCCCACCTGCCTCTATTTTGTATATGGGATGCCACCACAGCATGGCTTGATGAGCGGTGCGTAGGTCGGCGCCCGGCATCTGAACCCGGGAACCCTGGACCGCTGAAGCAGAGCATGTGAAATTAACCACTGTGCAGCTGGGCTGGCCCTCAAATGTTTTTTAAATAAGAAATTAAACCCAATTAAATAAAATTTCATCAATTCATAATCAGTTCTTTCCAATGATGATTTGCTTAGAAGTCCTTTAGCTGCACAAAAAATAGGATATAGACAGTCAATGTCCCAGATGGAAATGTTATAGTGATTTAATTAATTCTCTATTGGGCAGACCCATTTTGGGGAATGAAACTTTTAAAAGTAACTGAAGGAGTATCATAATGTAGGGAGCTTGGATTTTAGTGTAGTCTTTAGGAGGCTTAGGAGAGGGAAGAGATCTATGCAAAGCATTTAATACTTTTCTAGTCTAAAATCTGTGAAGGGTAGGGTCCTAAAATGGCCTGTGAGCTTTATTATATTTTGATTTTACTATCAAAATGTCTTTTCATTTAAAAGAAAGCAAAAAGTGTTAAGAAATTTTGAATTACATGTTAATATGTCATGATAGATCTTAGAGAGCTCTAAAGAGCTGTAAATTGGGCTGTGCTAACTAACAATGACAGCATTTTCTCATTTGTTCTTTTGACTTCCGTTAGGGCCTGTAGTTTTCAGTGTTACTATGTAAAATAAAATAATTTCTAGTTCTTCTACTACTCTTCTATAATTACGAGTGACTGAGTGAGGCGCTGATCCTACACGTTTGGTTATGTTTTTAATTACTAGAAAGTCTTAAATTTTTCGGAATTGTGGTGGTGAAGTCACTCAGTTAAATCTGTCTGTAGAATAATTGAGAACTTTTATTCAATTGAATTAATGAAAACATAATAAATTAAAAGTTCACATCAATACTCAAAATATATTTGAATAAGTTAACAGCTTGGAATTTATTATAATATATTCGATTTTATAAAATTAGATTTTGGACTTTTTCTTGCTCAATTATTTATATCTTTTTCTCCATCCTTTATATCTAGTTCTTAGATTTTCTCTCATCTCTTTTCTCCTTCTCTTTAGTAACAAACTTCACTTTACTTTAAAATAACTGGGAATATTTTCCTAATTGGTTTCATTAGTTTGTTTCATCTTTTTCCTAGAATATTAAATGCTGCTTGTGACATAGGAAATAGTTTCTTTTAAATCAAAAACCCATTGATAACAGATATCTTCTGTGGACTATTCAAAATTTATATACATTCAGACAAAAATATAGTATATATGTCATATCTATGTTTTTACACATACATCTGTACCTAATCATAATATGGAAATTTTTCAAAATTTCAAACTTTACTAATTTAAAAATTGACCACTTATACCCACATTCTAATGGCTGGGGTTTTTTTGCTGTGGACCCATGTTTTTAAATGTTGGTAACTAGTAGAACAAAGACTGGAGCAAAACCTACCTGCCCCAAACTAAGTCAACAGTATGGGGTTTGGAAAACCCTCTAAAAATGAATCAATCATTAGAAAATATTTCTCCAAAAAGATCTGTTAGGAAGACAGTCAACCCAGAAATGAAGAGAAGGGGAATCTGAGCCAGGAAACAGCGATGCCTGGGTGTAACTAGCTGGAGAGATTTGGGAGCTGGGAGATGTCTACAAGCATCTTATTACAGTTTCTGTGAAAACCACTTCATGTGGCACTAGGATGCTTTTCAACAATTTATTTCAATATTAAAATCAGCTGCAAACATTTTACTGTATTGTTGCAGCGACACAAAGACGAAGAAGTTCTGCTGATTAATGCGTTTCGTGGGCACTTTGGGGGCGCATGGCTTTACCAGATGCTTCACTTCACCACCAGATCTGCACTCATTAGCATTGCCACTCAGTCGCTCATCTTATTGCTTAATTATAGCGGCATCGGTGACTTTGCTATAAAATATAGTTATTTCCATCTTTGACCCTCCTCCCCTTCAAAAAAGAGTTTCCTACAACTTCAAAGGTCTGGTTTTTCTCTGCAGATATGGGAAATTTCATGGATACAAACCAGAGGAAAACAGTTTCTCAAGGACATGCAGCAGTTCTCAACTTACTGCCCATCTCCAGCTGCCCCAGACCTCAAGTGACTTGGTTTAGAGAAGGGCACAAGATTATTCCAAGCAACAGAATGTAAGTTGCTCCAAAGTTAAAAGTTTAAAATATAGCCCGTTACACTTGCCGGCACCATGTATATATTAAGTGTACCAATTAAGCCTAGAAGAGAATAACCTAGGCTAGTCGTCCTAGACGAATCCTTAATAAACAGCGATTTTAAAAAAACTGGCTTGGAAATTTTTAACCAGTTTGAGAATGTAGTCATGTAATGTTATTCTTCAGTATGCTGCATGCCCTGTGTAAAATACTCTTATTTACTCTTTAGGATCTGTGTTTCCCTTTTTGGAAGGTACTTTTTGAGATGTCATTGTCATCCCTGAGTTGTGTTTAGCTCCAAGTACTAATTTAGTGAGTGCTGGTATTTACTTACAGAGCTATGGGTTGTTCCCTTTTGTTACTGAGCCGTGTTTGATACTCCTGTCTCTGACAATAAAACAGTAATTACTGCTTATTTCTCCTTATCCTTTTATCCTACCATGACAGTTTTATTTCCCTTCATCTAATTAGTGGTTCGCCCATCTATTGCAGAATAGTTGCTTTGTGATTAGTTAAGCATTATTTCAAGGTGTTCTTGCCTATCCCACATTCAAGATATTTATCTGATGCCAATCAGATTTTCTTCATTTGGAACTTAAAGTGATTAAAAAGGATATTTGGTATATTTTTCATAACTGGGCATTTTGCAATGTAATTTAAAGATGACACACCAAATATAAAGGTTTCAAGGATGAACATTTCTTAAAGAATCCTGAAAGGCTATAAGCTGGGGCTAAAGGTCAAATATGTATGCTGTCAGATGGTTGCACTGAGATAAAAATTTATGGAAGAAAATGCTCTTGTTTTGTTTTGTTTTTTTGCCAAAAAAGGACATGTGTAAGACAATTTGCTGAATAGGTTTATATGTAGCTGTGAAAGTAACTATGGGACATCAACCTGCTTTCTCCCCTTCCTGAGCATCCATGGAGTCTCTTCTGTAAGCCCAGTGTCACCGCTCTTCCAGCCGGGCTCTGAACCCTGCCTGAACCTAGACTATTGTTAAGCTTATTTAGCAACTGGTTCTATTTTGGTTATTGGAAACAGGAAAAATATTGAAAGATATAAAAGCCATATTTTAAAATTCTAGTAAAAGTACCAATTACCTTAGTAAATGGGATAACTGCTATCCTTTTTCTTTACTTTATTAAAAGTTGCTTAGGTATCCAACTTTATATTGATTCGAATTATAACAAATGCCTCTCGAGCTGGGGTGAAACAAAGAGGAGGGATCAATTTCTCATTCTCTTAGAAGGCTGTCAGGTTGAAAAAAGGCAGCTAAGATGGATTTTTGTAAAATATTCCGGAAGGTTCTAGAGATGAGCACAGTATAGCTGGGCAAAGTTGGGATGAATGCTGGGAAGAGTTGGTACTAGAGAGGGATGGGTAGAATGAAGTAAGCTTCCTCTCAAACACTGGAGCTTCTAATTAATGTGAGTGGTAGCACAATTCATGGTGGAAGGATTATTTTAACTCAGTAGCAAATAACTATATTCATTTGTTAACCTGTGTTCTAGCTATATTCATGAGACATTTATTCGAAAAGTACAAAAGGATATAGAATGAACTAACAACTCTTAATTTTATAAACTTTTTTTTCACTTGCAAATTCTTGCTAAAGACTGTTTAATTCCTGGTGAGCTACTAAGGTAAAGATGCTAGTAGGGCTTTAACTTAGTGTCATATCAAACAAATGGTCTGCTTACATCCGTGAAGCCATTGATAAATCTCCAATCTCAGCAGAATCATATACTGGTATACTTTTTTCTTTGAAGAGATGAGATGAGTCTGATTAAGGATATTTACACGTTTGCAAGGCCCTTTAGTTGCTTTTATTTTCCACCTCATCATCACCCCCCTGTTTATTAAGTACCTGCTGTGCAAAATATCATAAATTAGTACGTGTGTGGTTTTCTCCACAGTTTACACATCATGCAAAGGTATATTGCTTTCCACTTCTAAGGATGTTCAGCCTTGGACGGCATATGGAAGGGCTTTTCTGTGTTGTCCCCACCCAGATGCTTGGGAGACAAAAGTCAGATGGCATTAGATCTGTTCTGCACCACCAGAGGGGTCATTTAAAAATGAACATTTGGCTCAGAGTGTTTCACACATATTGAAACAGGTCAAGCTTCTGCACCTGCTTTTAACCTGATTATCTGAGGTCAGTTCCCTAACGCAGTGAGAGAGATGGACCTTTGTCATCGGGAGGAGGAACCCCATCTCACCATTCCCCTATTTTTTAACGTTAGCTAATGACCCTCAAAATGTGGACTTGAGGCTTACAATTAAGATTTTTTTTTTTCATTTTCAAGGGAAACAGTAAGTTTAATGTTTCCTAACTTGAAGAATTAGTTGAATAGTCTATTAATAATTTTAACAGCAGCTATTATTTATTGAGTACCTACTTTGAACATATCTCTCTAATCCTCACAATTGCCTTCTGAGGCCGGTGTAATTAACCCGATTTGGAGCTAGCTATCAGATCTGAAGATTAGAGATGTTAAACGACCCACCCACAGGCACACAGCTGACCAGTGGCAGAGCTAGGATTTAAACCCAGGTCTGCCTGCCTCTAAATCTCGTGCTCTCTTCTGCATCAGGCTAATTCTTCTTTTCACTTTATTTTGCTGAACGTTCTTCTTGCTTATGATTTATTTTTTCCATACACTGCTTTAGTCTTTTTTTCTCCTTTTTTAGAGCACAGGCTTTCAATTTGAAATACTAAGGTTAGCCTGGGTTGCCATGAGCCACAGGCATGCACAAACACACATGCCCACATCAACACTGAGCATGCCTGTGTATGCATTATTTATGTTTCATATTGTGTCCATTAGTCCCTAACTTCAGAAATTTTTGGCAAAGAGAAGGCAAATGTGACCTTCCAGTTAAGGCATGGACTTTATGAAATTCAGAGGTCTAGTGGGCGATGGGGATGGAAGTTATCTCCGTATAGGGATCAGCAGGTGCCTTAGCACAGGGTGGATAACAACAAGAGATATAGGGGTGATTACCACATGCAGAATTCGATGCCCTATCATGGGCAACCTCTTTGTTCTTGAACCACATACTTATTGAATAAGGAGGTTTAAATTGTGTTGGAAAAATAGCAGCAGAAATTCATCATCATTCCCAGAAAAGTAGCTGAAGCGAATGTCTTGGTGGTGGTGTTTGAGCCACTTCACATTCACATGAGAAAGGCTAAAGGAAAATCTTACCAAGTTCTGACTGCAGTTTGGGCATTTTTTATTTTTTCCTTCATTCACCAAGTACTTGTTGAGGGCATACTATATGCTCAGTACTATTCCAGGCACTGAACAGACAGCAGTAAACAAAAGAAATCCCCTGTCCTCAGGGAGTCTACATCCAAGTGGAAGGAAGCAGACAGTGACCTGATGAATGTATGCTATACCAGCTGGTGATGAGTAGTGAGGAGAAGATAAAGCAGATGAGGAAGTAGGGAATGCGGGATGGGTAGATGGCGCTTTGAGACATGGAATCAGAGAAGACATCTCTGATAACAGACTGAGCAGAGACCTGAATGAATCAAAGGAGCAAAGCGTGGGTGTATATTGTTGAGAACAGCGATTGTGAAAGCCCTGAGGTGGGAGGCGTGCCTGGTGTTTGAGGAGTAGCAGGGAGGCCAGTGGGGCTGGTGTGGAGTGAGAGAGAGGGCTGGAGATGAGGTCATCGAGGTACCCAGGACCAGATTCCTAGAACTGGCTTACTTAGCAACAGTGAGGACTCTGTCAGGTACTCTGGGGATCTGGGCAGAGCAGCAACACATTCTCACTTAGGATTCTTTGTTAAGAATTGTGTTAAGTATAGACTGTAAGATGACAGAATCAGAAACTAGGAGGCCTGTGAGGGATGTGCTGCGTTCATTTAGGTGGCTCAGATCAGGGTGGTTTGGGTAGAGGTGGTGAGAACTGTCAGATACTGATGTATTTTGAAAGTAGAATCAATAGGATAGGAGACCCTGTTGGATTGGATGTGGGGTATGAGAAGGAGAGAAGCCATGGATAACTCTAAGAATTTTGGTCTGAGCAACTTATAGGATGAAGTCACCATTTCCTGAAGTTAGCAGATGATTTTGAGTGAAGCAAGTTTTGTGTATATGTGTGTGGGGTTGGTGATGTCTAAAATTTGTTTTGGACGTGTTAAGTTTGAGATGCACAGTAGATGGCCAAGAGGATCCAGTCATTAGATAGTTGTATGTATCAGACTCAAGGTTAGCAAAGAGCTCTAGGTTAAACTTGGGGGTTGCTGGTGTATTAATGGTATTTAAAACTCTTTAAAGCTCTGTATGAAACATGTAAACCAGTAAGCGAAGCCCAGAGTTCCATCGTATCAGTTAAGATGCTCTTAGCTGCAAGTCACAGAGGATGACTCTGGCTAAGCAAAAAGAAAATGTATTGGATTATTTAGAGAATTATAGAACTGAACCAATAGAAGGAGAGGACAGGGTGGTAACAGGGCTACTCCTAAGGCACATGGAGCAGGGAGAAAATCAACACTTCAGTGGCCTCTCAAGGATGTCCGAGTCCTAATTTCTGGAACTTGTGAATATGTTAGGTAACATGGCAAAGGGGGATTAAGGTTGCAGAAGCAATACGGAACTAATAAGGTGCGAAGGTGGGACAGAAGGAAAAAGGCAAAGTCTAAGGATAGTGCAATTAAGTTAGTGTCTGTACCCATGACCAGCAATGCCAAACGCCGGCAGCTTTTTCTCTCAACATCTCACCTTTAGACTTTAGCTGGTGAGAGTCACGATTCTGTATCGTGTTTGTAGGTCCTTCTGTTCAAGTAGCCTTAATCTCCCCTGAGTATTAACCATCTAAAACATCTTTGCCTTTATAACTCTATCTGTCCTGGTGCTATGTATAGCAGACATGCAATACTGGAATGGCTGAATGAATGAATGAAGAAATGTGAGGAAAAATCATGTAGTATCTGTAAACTTCCTCACCAAAAAGGAAAAA